GAAGGGAGAGCCTACAGAGGTTTGTGTGGTTGCCTGCTGCCCGCGATCTGCCGCGTTTGCCTTTCTCCGAGTATAAACACGATGTTTGCCGGGAGCCCCGCTTCACGGAGCGGATTTGAAGGGCGTGGCTGAACGGGCAACCCACCCCTGCACAACCCTCCGACCCCACCTGTTGTCCGCTATCTGGTAACCGATGAGAGGCGTGGGCATGGTTTGGGTGCTTTACAGCAGTCAGAACTTCCAGTCATATCTCCCAAGGAAAGCTGCTGGCGTTTTCTCTGCTCAGAAGGCAGCTAACTTGACACTGTGTAATCGGTTTTGCATTAAGTACCAAAAAGGGGAAAAAATAACAATTTAAAATATGATTTCCTGTAGCGTTACACAGTCCAGGGGGATCGGGAATCTGCAGATCAGGAGCTGGCATTTGATATGTGGCACAGAAGTGCACACCGTCTTTGGGCACCTTTGTAGCCAATTTCTCACATGTACGTGTGTCATTTCGCTCCATCCGTCATCATTTAAATGAGCACTGGTGATGACTCACATGACAAAGATGTGTTCCAGATCAGCGTTCTTTCAGGCTACCTTACTCTGACCAGCAGCTTTCAGGGCCCTGTAAAGCAAGCTGGTATAAAGGAGCTGGCTCATAAAAGTGGAGGAGGCAGCAGGATCACAACTTACAGCTGTAGCTACAGGATTTCTATATACATAAAATCATTGCACATTGTCATTAAAAGCTTTCAGAGACAAATGCAGTGGCAACACCAAGACACTTAATTCAGTAATGTTATTTCTTTAGAAACAGAACAAATAATGCCCAAATACTTGGCATTTCTTATGTCCCGATATGTGAGGATAAGGATGAGGATGATCTCCTACAAAAGACTGCACAGGGAGATAAAACTCAGTAAAAAGCAAAAGTTTTAGATTACATCTGTTATTTCATCTGTCTATGGCATGCAAGATTACTGGAAAGTACTGTGTTTTATTGAAGTTGCATCACATCTTGTGGCTCCTGGCACACAAATTTGCAAATGCTCTTTCTTTACTGAGCAATCTCTTGCTTTGGAGAAGGTCTTATCACAGTGGTTCTGAAATTAGTTTACAGTAAGATGAAGTCTACTCACAAGAGCGGAAACATAAAGTAAACTTTACAGCTTCTCTCTTTTCTGACCAGTGTTTTTGTTATGACACTTCTTGGTCTCAAAATTCTAACAAAATCCGTTAGAAGTGTGTTTTTGAGTGAGCATAAGAGAGAGTTTAAAATCCATATTCTGCTTACAACAGGCACTCTTTATCTGGCCTCTGGAGTGGTTGTATTGCTTCAGTACTGTTTCCCAGAATCTTTTGATCAGCTTCCTGAGGACTGTGGTCTCTGATGGAGAGTCTTGGAGTCCCACAGGGTCAGTGACCCAGCAGTGCTGCTGAGGGGCCACAAAAGGAAAACACTGCCTGTTGAATTTGGAGCACGTCAGGGTTGCTTTTTTAGGTATATGACTTTTTGCAGAATCTTCTAGGTCTGTAGCTAATAAAATAATTATTTTATGTGGATTGCCCACAATTTTTAAAGCCCCTACATGTCATTGGTAAATAATGCTTTTTCAATTTAGAAGCCGTTATTGTGTGGGTTTCTGTTTCTTTCTTGTTCATGCACATCTGGGTTTTTCTGCTCTTTTTTCAATCAGATGTATCCTGTCCTATTTCTTCCTAACTAACTGCATATTTTCTTGCACTGGATCTATGACTATCTCCTCATACCACATATTTATTGTTGTTGTAGTGGCAGCTTTGGGATCCTTTCTGTGGAAAGGGTGTGAATATCTGTGTTAAATGTTGCCTGGTTTTGAGGCAGCTCTTGCATTGTCATGATACATTTATATATGCTTTCTCTATGCAGACACTTGCCTTCTTTTTGGCTTCCTAGTGGTTTTTATTATTGTATTTTATGATAGGTGGTGTTAGTGGCAAGTGAAACAGCAAAGGAGAGGATACTTGAGGAGTTCAGCTTAGCACTCGTACTGACAGTTTGTGAAGGAAAGGGCTTGGAATTTGGTGATGTCCTCTTCCTCTGCAACTTTTTCACTGACTCACAGGCATTTGATTCCTAAGTGTTTTCTACATTTTTTAATTTAATGTCTTGATTTTACAAGTTGTCCAATTGACTTGCCACCTGAGGAGGGGTTCACTTTCCTCTGAGAACAGGTGGTTTCACCACAGTAGAAAACAGGGCTCCCCATAGGTTTAGGAAATGCGCGTGTCCTTCCTTGGTGCAGCATTTTCCTTGTGATTCGTTATTGCAGTTTTAGGGAAGGCCTTGGAGCGCCGGTGCCGGACAGGGGTCCCACAAGGTGCGGGGTGGCGCCGGTGGCTCTTGCGGTGCGTTGGGAGGGGCAAATCCACCGCCGCGCTCCTCGTTAGTATAGTGGTGAGTATCCCCGCCTGTCACGCGGGAGACCGGGGTTCGATTCCCCGACGGGGAGG